GCAGCCATGTCCCCAGCACAAGAGCTGCGGTGCAGCCGCGGGTTCCCTGTCAGGCCTGCTGTGAGTTTATTAATGATACAGTTGATGACCATGGGGTTCTGGCAAACCCTTTTGGTCGGAGGATGACTCAACACTTAGCAACCACAGCACATCCTGAGGCAGAACCGGTATTGCTCTAGTTCAGTGTCTGTTCTCGACAGGCTGCATTTAACCTCCACTGTGACATCAGCTCAGGACAGCCCCAACTTGTCTTCCTCATGGGAAGCCCAGCCAAAAAACCAAACCTGTTTCTGAGACTGCAAAGAGTAGCCTGTGTTTTGTGGGTGGTCCAAAGGGGATGAAAGAAGGCCAGGAGGACCCAGTTCTGGGACATGGTGTGGCAGATGAGACTCACTGAGACATCAGCATATAAAAGGCCCCATCCTGGAGGTAATGATGATTGGCCAGCCTGCCTTTCAATCACCTTTCCCTTGGTGGGTGATTGGTCTAGGGGTGAGCATGTGACCTATACCTGCCAATTAAATATAAGGAGGGGTCTGTGGGGACTTGCTGGGTAAAATATTTCCTCTTATTAATAGCAGGTGAGGGTACCTGGCGCGGTGCTTATCTCCTGCCTTCTGTTCAGGCATGTGTGGGATGTCTCCAGTTGCACATTGCGAGCGTCAAAAGAACTGGGATCATGTCTTCCTCACAGCTTTGCTCCTACAGTTTCTGGTTCTGTACACTGACTAAATGCTGGTTTACCACACATATGTTCGATACTTAGAAACTTGCTCTATATCAGTGTCCTCAACTGCTCCACTGGTGATCTTCCCCTCGGGTGACATGTATCATGTCTGGACACATTTTTGGTTGGCCTGATTGGTCAAGGGGAGGAAGTTAGCAGCCACAGGAAGGTGGGGGCCACAGACCCTTTAATCCTGCCCCCAACACACACACACAATGCACAGGACAAGATAGCCCTCACACCGAAGAATGATCCAGACCAGAATGTCAATAATGCTGTTGTTGAGAGATTCTACTCTGTAGACAACTAAATAGGAATGCTTTCTCTTGATTCTTTTCAGTAAACCTGAAATCAATAAAAACAAAACAGATTTTTAAATTATTTCATTTTTATTGAGGTAGCATTGGTTTACAACACTGTATATGATTTAGGGGTATAAGTTCACGACTCCTCAGATGTATGTTACCACACCACACCCACCCCCAGGCACCCACAAACTTCCACCATAGTTCTTTGGGTCTCTACCCTCTTGTTCCCCACCTCCATCCACCTTTCTCTCCTGGTAAGCTCAATTCTGCAGTCAAATCTCTAGGGTTTGAGTTGGTTCAGTTTTGTCTGTTCTTTTTTTTTGTATTCCACGAGTGAAATCATCCATTATTTGTCATTCTCCTGACTTATTTCACTAGTTTCATTCCCTCTAGTTCTATCTGTGTTGTTGCAAATGGCAAAATTTCACTTTTTTTAATAGCTGAGTAGTATCCCATTATGTACCTAGACCACATCCTAATTCTCTCATATGTCATTGGGCACTCAGCTTGTTCCCCTCACTTGGTTGTTGTACATAGCACTGCAATGAACATGGGAGACAGAACTCCAAGGGGGTGTGGCCAGTGCTTTCTGGGAAGTCAATCCACCTGCATGGCCCCTGCTCAATGGTGAGGATGGCCACGGCCTAGACAGAGTGAAAATGGGGAAGTCACAGACCCTCTGGACAGGCAGCCAGGGTGTCTGTTCTTCAGCTGTTCTCAAAATCTAGGTGCCTGACCATCATCTCATCTTGCCTGGGAAGGCGGTTTGTTTATAACCTTGACTCTCAGCACCTGTATTAAACACCCATTCACCTATGGTGCTGAGACATAATTTGTTTCCTACACCAAATTTTGAGAAACATGGCCCTGGGGGACAGAGAAGACTGTCCTGGTGGGGTCACAGAAAAAGCATAACACCCCAAGAACAACAAGCCTCACCAAATATCATCAACAGGTTCGTGGAAACCATATCCAGGGGAGGCAGATCTTGGCTGTCTAACTCGGTGTTGCCCAGGGTCATTTTTTTCTCATTGACGTTATGACAAGATGATGATGAATGAAACAACGTAATGGAGGACCTACTGTGGGTGAAAAGAATACCAGAACACCTGAAGAGGGCGGAGGGGCCTGATCCCAGGTGTGCAAGCAAGGGACAGAATGAAAGGATGCATAGCTGCCTGAGCTAAGGCAGGGGTCGCCTGCTGTCCCCAGGCAGTGCCTGACTCATGTCAGTTAACATTTGCTAAATGACTGTCGCCCAAAGGAGACCAGGCTGCTGATGACTTCTTCGGAGCCATTTCTTTTACTTCGTTTTAGAAATCCTCAGCCTTGGCTGTCCATTGAAATCTCCTGGGGAATTTTGCAAAAACTTGTGTTTGGGTTCCAACCCTAGAGATTCCTATTTAATTGGCCTGGGTCATGGCCTGGCCATTGTTTCTGTTTGTTTTGTTTCTAAAGCTCCTCAGTGCTATGTGCAGTCAAACTGCAAACCACTGCCGTGGCTGCTAATGAACTTGTATGTATTAAGTTCAATCACATAAAATTGGCTTACCAGAATAGCAGTTTTCTCTGGTTGAACTTGATATTTCACTTGTAGTGTTGGCTGTGCTTCTATTTAATTCACATCTGTGTTCAGTTGTTAAAGTAAAAAACACCTGAACCCAAACGAAGCCCAGGTGGTCATGGCTTCCCCCTCCCCCCAAAAGGCTACATCTGAAGATAAACTGATCTGGCCCAGGGAGGGCAGAGACACCCTGCCTTCTATGGGTGACGACCTGCGCAGAGGCTTTGAGAAACTTGCTTTCCAATTGGGGCCAAATCCTGAGTCTATTTTGTGCCTGAGAGCAAATAAAATGTGCTAATATGAACCTGCTCTTCTAATTCACCCTCTAATGCAGGGAAGGCTCAGTTGGATTCCTGTGTAAAATGCTCAGAGTCTGGGAAGCTTAATGCTCTGCAATCATTTCCACTTCTCTACTGATGACTAGAAATATGACCCCAGAGGGATTCAGTGCAGGACAATATGGGTGGGGAGGCGAAGGGGAGATGGAGGAGGCAAGACCCACATGAGCCATAAGAGAAAATGAAGCATCCATACTTTATCCTTCTTATGTTGGCCTCCTGCTTGGGAAGATGTGAGGTGTGGGAGCAGTACCAACTGCAAAATTAGGGGACACAGTCCCCAGGCTGTTTTTCCACAATGCACTAGAAGGACTCCAGTACTGACTAGAAGCTTTATACTCATGGTTAATGTTTACTGCAGCAAAAGGATACAGATTAAAATCAGTCAAGGGAAGAAGTACTTAGGACAGAGTCTAGGGGGCTCCAAACACAGGATGCCCAGTTGCTGTCTGCAGTGGGGCCAGGACAGCATCGCTGGCCCAGCCCATGTAGCAATAGTCTGCCCAGAGGACTGCCAAGCAGGAAAGCCTCAGTGTCCACAGTCTTTATTGGGGCTCTGTCACTTGGTTGGCTGCCCATGTGGTTGACCTGTCTCCAGTCCCATCAGAGGGCAACTGACACCCCCACCCTAAGTCACCCTGTGGGTGTGGCTCCAAACCTCAAGGCAAGGAGGTCAGGCACACCATCCCAAGGGCTTCATGATCACCTCCAACAACCACGGACAGAAGCAAGGCTGGATTCTTTACCTAGGGAAGAGCCTTCTTTCTCCCCTAGAGGGATCATACCACACATCTAATCCACTTACCAATCTGGAAAGACTCAATTCCTCAGTTCACTTGTCTTCTCTCAATCAGTTGATACTTTCAAATCCTAATCCAGATAAGCCCTAAATCTGGTAGCCAGCCCATGGGGTGGGTGGAGGCTGGTGAGAACCAGAATTTGTGCACCTGTCTTAAACCTTCCATGGTAGGTGATATCTAGATGCCTTAAGTATAAGATTAACCTGATTTGCTTTTTTTTTAATCTTAGAAATATGTTACCTAAAGCTCAGGTCAGGAATGGCCATTACATGGCTTTGTCCTATAATTAGAAGCTATTCAGTTCTATTATAGAGGGTGGCAAAAACAATGGGTTGGATGAAATCGATAAGGTGAGGTGTGCAGAATGAGTGAGCAAGTAGCTTTTAAGACAAGCAGAATTGATATGAATTCTTAAGTATATGTAAATTAGTAACCTGTAAAACATGTGATGTGGATAAAACAAAAAAAGGAGGGATGCTTTTTTTGCTACTGATAGACAGAAAGGATTAGGAAGTCGAGGTCTTATATAAGGTCTTATATAAGATCCTACTGGAAGTCATGCCACTTCTAAGCGGATGGTGTTGTCTACCCCTGCATTGGTCACCCATCCATGACACTCCCGATATCCCATTCTGGATTCCACGTGCCCAAGAAATGCACATGAACCCATAGCTGTTCATCAAGCCAGTTGGCAAATGACGCCAATGGCTGGGTATCATTGCTCCTGAGTCTCTCCAATAGAACAAGCATGTGTTGACTCTGAGCGTCTTCTGCCTGTCGACCCCCATTCAGCTCTGACACCACGCCATTGACACAGAAGGGTGATGCAGGTTGCAGAGAGACAGGACAAGATGAGATCATCTAGTGACCCAGGAGTCAGGGGGGTGGCAAGGTCAGCCCTGTCCCGACTGTGGAAACCACCCAATCCCTCTCCTGTGGCTTCTTCCTGGGCGTTTTATGTTGATTTACTGCTTGAGCTTCCTGGCAGCCACTGGGGAGGAATAGTTATGAGAATGTTGAATCAGAGACAACCCTTTGTCTTAGTAATTCCAAGGACAATTCCTGGAACCAAGTTTGAGAGTTTATCTTCCTTCTTATCGAATTAAAATACTAATATTTTCCTTCTTAGGGAGGCAGGGTCATCATGACTGTCTATGATATATCCTCATAAGAGTTCTACAATGGGTACCAGCATGGCCGCGGTCCCGCCGCAGTGCCCTGCCTGGGTGTCTGGGTGATCCATGGGCGGCAGCCAGGGCCATGATGGCAGATTACGGTGAGGAGCAGCGCAATGAGCTGGAGGCTCTGGAGTCCATACACCCCGACTCCTCCACAGTCTTATCAGAAAGTCCACACAGCTTCACCATTACTGTGACATCTGAGGCTGGGGAAAATGGTGAAACTGTCCAGACTACCCTCAAGTTTACATACAGTGAAAAATACCCAGATGAAGCTCCTCTTTATGAAGTAATCTCTCAGGAAAATCTACAAGATAATGATGTCTCAGACATTTTAAAATTATTAGCATTGCAAGCAGAAGAAAATCTTGGTATGGTGATGATTTTTACAAAAAGAAACAAAAAGAAAAAAAAAACAAAAAGAAACAAAAAGAAAAAGAAGCAGAAGGAGCCGAAAAGCAATTATTTCATGGCACTCCTGTTACAACTGAGAATTTCCTAAGTTGGAAAGCCAAGTTTGATGCAGAACTCTTGGAAATAAAAAAGAAACGAATGAAAGAAGAAGAACAAGCAGGAAAAAATAAATTAAGTGGGAAACAGCTATTTGAAACAGATCATAATCTTGACACATCTGATATCCAGTTTTTGGAGGATGCTGGAAACGATGTGGAGGTAGATGAGTCTCTGTTCCAGGAAATGGATGACTTGGAGCTGGAAGAGGATGAGGATGATCCAGACTATAATTCTGCTGACCCAGAGAGTGAGTCGACTGACTAATGGACTAACCCCATCTGCCGAGACGCTTTGTTGTAGAGCAACCCCGATACAAAACGGGGTGCCTGACTGTGGGTCCTCACCCAGGCGCTTAAAAGGATTTATCAATGCTCTACTGCAGGCACACGTGAAAGGTTAATAAAGGGTTTATTGACAAGGGAAGGGGAAATGAGGAAATGGACAGCTCAGGGAGAAAAGTGGGAGACAAAGTTTTAAATGAGTCCTACCCAATCCCCCGATCAGGAATCCCAAAATGGCGCTCTCAGAGCTGGCCGCGAGCCAGGAGCCGTGAAGCCAGGAGGCGAGCGATCGCGAGCCAGAGAGAGCCCCCAAGGCCCACGTGTTTGGTTTTTTATATCCAACCTGGCTGCCCAACTCCACCCTCAGGTCCCAGCCACCCTCCCTTGGTGGTGACGGGATTTGTCTTTCCCAATGTCTTGATGGCTTTGGTCTGGAGTGGGGGTGGGGTCCACAAAGCCTGCATGGGATTAGCTCAGGACATCATTTCCCCCTAACAGCTTGACTGTCACAGCACCTGTGGCTTTGCTGAGAGGGTGTTAGTTTTCCTTTCTTTTTTTTTCTAAGAAAAAATAATTTTCAGGAGAATATTCTTCAGATAAGTTTCATCATTGAACTTAATAAACTGACCTTAAAATGTAAAAAAAAAAAAAAAAAAAGAGTTCTATAATGGAGAGGGGTCAGGATCCAGGTAGAGAGCTCCACTCCTTCCAGCACAAGTGACTGAGAAAGAAGGGTTTTGGGGGAAAAGACTGAAATTGGCTTTGCAAGAGAAAGTGGGAATGAAGTGGAGGGAGTCTGCGCCTGGGGAAACAGGTGAGTGGTAGCCGGGGAGAAGGCCGGGGATTGTATTTAAGAACCTGTGTCCAGGGGCCTCCCCGGTGGCACAGCGGTTGAGTGCTGGGTTGCGAAGCTGCCCACAGCCTCTGCAGCACGGGTTCGATCCCCGGCTGCTCCCCGGCCACCAGAGGAGGGTCCCACATGGCGCGCAGACCTCTCCTGCCGCCCGCTGCTCCCCTCAGCAGTGTACTTCGGTCCTTCTGCCTGCTCTGCTCCCCGCTCTGGCTCTGGTGAATTCTCTCACCCTCCTGTGCTCCTGACTGTACCCAGTGCTTGTATAAACAAACAAACAAACAAACAAATAAATAAATAAATAAATAAATAAACATGCCTCTATTAAAAAAAAAAACAAAACAACTCAAAGAACCTGTGTCCACCTTCCGCCTTCCATCATCTCCTACGCCTTCTCCTTATCTCCGTAATAAAACCCAGTAATTCCAAACTGGTTCTAGGAAATACTGATGGAAATAGACATTGACCGAAGGCTCTGGGAGAAATGTAAACGACCCGTATCTATAAGGTGTTCAGCCTCCCTAGCAACTCCAGCAATCCTAAGAACCGCAATACAATTTCTTGGTAGGGTTTGAAACAACTCAAGGAGGTGGTCTCAACGCTTTCCAAATAAGGAAAACTTATGACTCTTTGGGGATTTCTCAAGACATAAATGATCATGATTTTAGAGGGCTCTTTTTTTTTTTAAATGAAAGTGAAATAATAGTATTATACCAACAAAAGTTGCAGGTATTTGGGAATTTAATAAAAAACATAGTATCTGGGATTTATTGAAATCATAACTCAAGGCAGCTTATGAGATGACAGTTCTTTTCTCTTTGCCATCGGTCATGTGGAGATTTCATTGGGAGAAATCAGAGCCGACAACCAGCCTCAAGTTTTGCAGAAGGAAAAGATCCTGTTTCCATGTCCCCCAGATCATTCTCTTTCTTCTTCTCTCAACTCACCGCTCTCCTCACTTTTGCCCTCGTACCTACTTTTGCCCATTTGTGCATGTCCACTAGAGTCGAGGCAATAAACTAATGAACTGTCAAACCCCAGCACCTTCTTTGTGGTGCTTTCTCTATCACTCTCCAGAGAAAACCGAGAAGTGGAGGTTCAGCTGAGAGCTATCTGGCAGTTCATCCCTTCTGAGATGAACTGAAAACAACCTAACATCATCATAAAACAGAATAAATGTCCACAGGTTCTCTCCCTCCTTTACTTGTGCAAGGACCGACTTTGGTGTATTCCCTGCACCCAGCTCTGCTCTCCCTCTCAGCACCCCAATCCAGGCAATTGGGCTCAAGAATCTCCAGGACACAGGAAACCCAGTGGCCCTCTGGCCTCACAGTCTGGGGACCATGACCCCCACCAGACTCCTCCCTCGAGTCCACTCCCAGCAGGGTTGCCATGGATCCTCCAGGGACTCTGAGAAGCCCACATTATATAAAACTTATGGGGAGGTTTTGTGACAGGATCCAACATTTTTGTTATGTGTTTGTATTTTGTTAAGTAGAGAAAGCTGATGGGTGCAGAGATCGCATATGCCATTTAAAAGGGGAAAAAAGCTTTAAAAACTCCCATATTCTTGATTATTGTACCATGGTTATAGAAGATGTGATCACTGGGCACACCCAGTAGGACGGCTATTATAAAAACAAAACAGAACAGAATATAGCAAGTATGGGCAGGAACGTGGAGGAATTGAAAGCCTTGTGCATTGCCAGTGAGACTATAAAATGGTGCCACAGCAGTTCACAAAAACTAAGCATAGAATTACCACATGATCCAGCAATTCCACTTCTGGGTGAAGACCCAGAAGACCTGACAGCAGGATCTTGGAAAGATCCCATGTTCATGGCAGCATCATTCACCATGGCCAAGGGTGGGCGCAACCCCCATATCCAGGAGTGGATGACTGGATCAATAAATCATGGTCTATCTACACAATGAAGTATTATTCAGCCTCCAAAAAGGAAGGACATTCTGTCACACGTTCCAACATAGATGAAGCCTGAGGACATGATACTGTGTAAACTCATCACAAAAGGACAAATGCGGTTTGATTCCACTTAGATAAGGCTCTAGCAAGTCAAAATCAGAGAGAGGAAATAGAAGGATGGCTGCCAGAAGCCAGGGAGGGGTCACGGCCAGTTATTATTTAATGAAGGCAAAGCTTCAGTTCTGTCATGCGAGAAGAGTTCCAGAGTCGATGCAGGAGATATCTTTAGCCACTGAGCTGGACTCTTGGAAATGGTTACAGTGACCATTGATGTTAAGTATATTTTACCACAACTCTAAGAATTAAAAGAAGATGTTATTACTGGGGAAACTACTCTACCTTGCAACTTATATGTGCCTGAAATTATTTCAAAATAAAAAGTTTAAAAGTAATGATAAGTGAGCAAACCATAAAGAGGGAGGGTATGTACTTATGAACAAATTAGGAAAATAGGAAAAAATCAGAAGGGGCTACACCAAGTGTTTTTAGGCCATGGGACTTAGGAGGGAACAATTTTCCCTTTTTTCTTTTCTTCTGGCCTTGCTAAGATGCAACCGGACTAATAAGAAAGAAAATTTTTTGTTTTTCAAAAGTCCCCAGCTATTTTCCTAGATCCACAGAGAAATGGCTCTTTTGACATTCAAGAGCCAAAACAGAGTCTTAAGATCCCCAGCAACTCCCACCACATTTATTTATAAATATTTATAGATTGATAAATCTATATTTATGGATGAAAATAAATTTTTCTTGAAGGAATTACAATCACCAGTGTGCTAATCAGCAGTGAGATGAAGACCAGACAGACCAATTGCTGAAAAGCAAACAAAGCCTCCACCAGAGCCCAGGGCTGGAGGGGCCGGAGGGAGACACGATACTGTGAGCAGGAGGGGGCCTCTTGTCAAGACCAGACAGGCTTGACGTGGACAGCCAGGAAGCTTTTCTGGGAAGTTCCATCACTCTTCTGGTGTCCTTCCTCAGACCCTGCATCCCTTCTTTCCACCCATCTCAGCAACCCAGCCCACCCCATACACATCAGAGAAAGTTTTTCTTAAGAGGAAAAGTCACTTTTGGAAAGTTCGAGCTAAAATTCTCTTCTCCTAGCTAACTGGCAATTATGAGTTAAATTATGTGCGCCACCCCCGCCCCGCCCCAAATCCCTCTGAAAAGAGCTAAGTTGGAGTCCTAACCCCCAGTGTTCAGTGCTTTTAAGAACTTACTCTTCTTGCTACTCTTCTAGACACAAGTAGAAACGCCTCTTCTAAGGGTTAAAACAGAGCCTTGTCTTGAAATCTCCAGCAATGCATATTTTTATTCTCAATCTTATTTGGAAATAGGGTCTCTGTAGAGATGATCAAGTTAAAATGAGGTCAGTCAGGTGGCTCAAATCTTTATAAAGGAAACAGAGCCAGGCTCAGAGGGACGACGAGGGAAGAAATGGCAAGTCGGGGCATCCACCAGCCCAGGAAGGCACCAGGAGCTGGATAGATTACTCTTGAAGCTTTGGAAGCCTCCAGAACCATGAGACAATACATCTCTGCCATGTGAGCCGCCCCCACTGGGGTGCTTTGTTCAGCCGCCCTAGGCCATCCACACCAGCCTTCGTCGCTTCTTCCAAGCCGGCTGCTTTCGCAACAAGCTCTCGCTTCACCTCCAATGGACAGCGTCTCCCTTTGGATTCGGCCATTGTTATTTTCCGCTTTCCTTCCCAGACCCAAATCTGAAATGATTGTTTTCCCATTTGTGCCTTAAAGACATGAGTTTGTATTGTGCTCCCCTGGGATTTCAAAACACATTCGAGATCTGCCCCCAACCCTCACCCCCAAATGCATGTCTTACCACTTAGAAGCAAGTACTATTGGAAAAGACCCTTCTTTCCCCCTTGCTATTTTTATTTTTACAGATATCTGATCTGCAAGATAAGGTGCATGGGAGGGGTTTTAGCAGTTTAATGAATTTTTAATTGAGAAGGTAGTTTAATAGTCTACTCATTAGTCTTTCTGGGAAAGCCATTAGAAACATACAGGGTCCTATTAAGCAATAGAATCCATTGACCGACAGGATTTTGGAGAGCTTAGCTTCTGTATTCCCACCTCTGCCCAGAAAAGGGGCAGGCTCTGCAGCCCCCAGGACAGTCGGGCATCCAGGCCTA